AACAAACACAAGTAACGGAATTTACAAAACTGTATCGCACGCGTGCAGCCTAAATTTATTCATCGCACGGACCCATCTTTTCGTAGATAGGCCTATATGTCTCACTGTACAGCCCTGGACCCTTTTTAACGGACGTTTGGTGTAGGTCTACTAGGCATAGAGATATCTGAACATCTTTGCCAAGCGCAAACCAGTACAGAAGTAGGCTAATCAATAAATTATCGGGGAGGGTCATGCCTTTTTTCACAATCATTTTGGATGGTCATAGAAAAATGTACTGCTGGTGACGGGAGGGTCAAGTCTATTTTGACTCTAAAAAAACGAACAGTCCCTAAGTCGCGCGTAATGAGTTTCAGTATTCAATTTCAATTTCAATTTCAGTAATGAGGCTAATTCTTCTTATTTTGTGTTTTCGGCCGTTACAAAACCAGCTTGAGGTGCATTTCCGCCACTTACTGCATGGAAAGGAGTGTAAAGCCTCTGAACGAAAGGAATAATTTAATTGAGAAAATAAACTATATCCTTCTCATTAAATCTGTAGGCTATCTCTTAAATATTTTACATCATACACCCTTAACTGTTTCTGTGCATTCTGAAATATATTCTGAACTGTAATGACATTGATTTCCAAATCTCTTAATTATTCAACAAGCTGATTTCTTTCTCTTTTATGTGCCTTACAGTGTAAAATCACATGTTCATCTGTTTCTGATTTTCCACAGTTATTGCAGCAATCTGTCTCACACTTTTCTATCAATATGCAGTGAATAATTAAGGTTGTGTCAGAGCCTGGCCTTAACAGTTTTGTATCTTCTGTTTTCATACCATTCTATCAATCCCCACTTTAGGTTAAATGCTGAATAGATTTCTCCCTTTTGACTCTTTATTTATTCAACTACTGGTTTAATAATTCTTCTGTTTTACTTGATGGAATTTCTGTCAACCTCCTCTCTTCCTAATGCTTGGCTTGTTCACCACATTCCCTTCTATCTCTACATGGGCAAATATCCATAAACAAATCTACTCTTACTCCTGTTTGATTAATTCTATATAAATTCTGTAAACAATTTCACATAAAATATCCTGTCTTGATGCTGATTTCCTAGCCTGGCTGCCATCCCGAACCCCGCCCACAACATTATTTGGTCAGGAAGTTCGGTCTGGACTCGCTCCATTGAGGAGTAATTATGATCGGTTCAGAAATCGCCGGGCCAATCAAATTGCCAGGGCGGGCTTTATACGATGATGGACAGATGATCTGCAGTTACGTAATCATCACGTTATCAAAGAGCGCTTGGGTTGAACTGGGGTGCTTCTCATTTCTTATTTGTGCATCCTCGTTTCCTTTCCTCGCTTCCTTTCCTCGCGTCTCAGCTCCAGCCCCTGCAGGACGCGAGGGAAGGCTGCAAGGAAAGAAAAGGAGGACGGAGGAATCGAAGGAAAGTTTTTTTATACTTTGGGATACTTGACCACTCGAGCATCACTTCACTGCGTCATCAGCAGCGCTCAAAGGATCTGCCCTTATGTTGTTGCAGCCCATTCTCATCCCAAGGCGTCATATACGTGACGCTTTTTTGACATTCTTCAAAAACTGACGCACAGGGCACCCTTTAGCGTCAATATGAGACGCAGACCCAAGGCGTCATATAGGTGACGCTTTTGACATTTCGTCTAAATCCGACGCACATGGCCACCCTTTAGCGTCAATATGAGACGCAGATTCCAAGGCGTCATAACCTAACGCTACCCCAGACCTAAACCTGCCCGTCTCATATTAACGCTAAAGGGTGCCATGTGCGTCCGATTTTGAAGAATGTCAAAATATGACAAAATATGACGCCTTGGGATGAGAATGCGTTGGTTGTTGAAGTTTGGCTATTTAAGAAATTTGTAATAAATAATAATAAAGCAAGATACCCTGTTGAAATATGTGAGATGTGTGGTTTATATAAACTGCAATGTTAAAGTATAATTAAAATGATTGTGACCGACGTTAAGGGGGAGGAGAATTTATACGTGCATCACGTTAAGTCGATAAAACTCTTCCGCAAAGCATGCAACCGTGCATCCTCACTCATAGCTCCTCTGGAAGCCTCCTCACTCCTCGATCCTCGCCTCCTCGCGGTGCAATTAGAGAATTGAGATGTCCTTCAAGATGGCTGAGCTCGATCGGTTTCCGGGTCATAGGATGGAGGACGGAGGATCGAGGAGACGAGGAGGGATATTGAGAAGCACCCCTGGTTTCCCTCAGAGATGACTGCAGCGGGAGAATTGAGATGTATAGATTCTGCTATCGCATCTGTTGTAAAAGAAATCGACAGCGCATTCATTTTAAAAGACGAACAGAGAACTGCAATCAAGGCATTTGTCGATCGGAAAGATGTGTTTGCCGTCCTTCCTACGGGATTTGGCAAAAGTTTAATTTATCAGCTGGCTCCGATGGTCGCTATATGGGACGCAATGAAAACCCTGTGGTCGTTGTGGTTTCTCCTTTGGTCGCACTCATGAAGGACCAAGTAAAAGAAGCAACACTTATTATTTTACTACTTCTTCCAGAGTGCGTGTAGTTGAGTTCTGTTGACAATTTGCGTATAGCTCATAAAAAAAACACTTACTGCGTTGCTCTGATTGGTTGTAGGTCTATCCAATTGATTGCAGAGGTTTTTTTTTCCTGGTTCGGTTAAGACACGCCTCATAATCAAAGCCCTATGGAGCAGTATCAGACTCACATTCTGACTAGAATATGAGTATGACGAAGTCAGGCTACTGATTTCCCACTATTTTAACAGTTTAATGGTGGATATGAGTCTGAACATACTACTACACCTAATGGATGTATTTCCTCCTCCCACTGCACAGCCAATAGAATAAACGAGGCTTCAGTGCGTCACAACTGTTTTGACGTTTGCCACTAATAGGCGATCACAGTGAACCCATTAACCAGTCTATGTTTTTACCTGATCTCGGATCAGTTTTATAAGTTTGGACATTTTATTAACACATTTGTATAATACAAATGAAGAGTAGTAGATTTGTCTCTGATTAGCCAAGCCATCAAAAAAATGATCACAAAACACACTGTACAAATTAATAAACTAACATAAATTATACAACATCTTTATGCTTCATTCTGAGGGTTGGTGTTTGATGGTTTGTAAATTGCAAATTGAAACCTGTTTGAAAGATTTTGAACAGTTCTGTTACAGTATTGGGATGTTTTTCACTGTTCTGATTGGTTGTGATGTCACTGATGAATCAGACATTCTCGTATCAGGACACTAGGGGGCGATGATGACGATGATGATGATAAAGATGATGATGGTGAATGATGATAATGATGATGATGCCTTAACAAGCCTCAGAGGATTTTTGTACAGAAAACTTAGCATTGTGAAATAATTTGATTATTTTGTAGGCCTATATCCCCCTATATCCACCCTAGAAGATCAGCAGAAGAGCACACTATGTAAAGCATAATGCATAATATATCAATTTCATCAAACACATTTATAAAATATATTTGCCAAGATGTTTTTTTAGTCTTTTTAGTTCCGCTGGTAAATCTCTTTAAAAAATAATTATGATGAGGTTGTTTCTGTTGGAAATTATAGTCAAACATTTCTGAAGGAAGTTGTGGCATTGACCCTTAAAATGACAACTGTTTATTCAGTGTGAAATGACACCGTTCAGAAATGAATAAAAATAGATATGTCAGCGCTTCACACGATCACACCAACAAATGTGAGGAACTTTAGTCATGAGCTTCATAAACATGCTGACCATATTTTATATGCAATACTACAGATAGGCCTATTGTTCCTAAAATAACGTTGTATTGAGCAACATAGCCTGGGAAAAAAACTCAAAACAGGCAGCATTGCAAGATCCCATGTTAATATTTGTAAAAGATTGCTTATTTATAAGGACAACAGTAACTATATTTTGGTGGAAACTATGCTAAGGGGTTTATTACATCACATTGTTTATTAGGCCTACATAAATGTTAGTTTTCATCGACTGCATCATGTGACCTATCAGAGTGTGAAGTGTGTTCATGTACACAGACGCGTTCATGAAGTGTGATGTGCAGGACTTTATTCTCCCTGACTGAAGTTTCTCAGATTATCTACTGATATATTTTTTCAGATCATTGAGTGATTTTATCTCAGGCTTTTGGAGATGTTGCTCACACTTATTTCGATCTCTTTGAGTTTGTGTTGTCTATCTGGTGAGTTATAAACATGTTTTTATAGTCATAATGCACAGTTAAACATTTTCAGATTTTCATTAGCTGGTAATAATATTGTGTTTCTGGTGTGTTTGGTTCCACAGATGCAGTGAAGTCAGTGTCAGTGATGGAGGGAGATTCTGTCACTCTAAACCCTGATCTCACACTCACAGACACACAGAGAGATGAAGAGATCGAGTGGAGGTTTGAAAACAGTCGCATCGCTAGAGTGATCATGAACATTCCTAAATATGATAATGATGAGAGATTCAGAGACAGACTGAAACTGGATCAGACTGGATCTCTGACCATCAGTGACATCAGAACCACAGACTCTGGACTTTATAAACTAAGAACCATTATTGGGAATAAGGAGTTTATCAAGAGATTCAATGTTACTGTTAATGGTGAGTAGAGAATTACACTGTAATTTTATTGTCTTCTTCATATTCATGTTATAGCAGTGTAAATAAAACAGCTTTGGGCCGAAGTTTGATAGAAAATAAAAAATGTCTGACCAATCTCATCAGACACCAGACTGAACATCTCAACATCACTGATCTCTGTCAGATGTGTTCAAGTACATCAATAGTCAAATAAGCATTTCAAGTTTTTACAAAGTTGTCTTTTTTTGTCGATCAAACTGGCACTAATAACTCTCTTTTGTCATTACAGTTCTAGACCCACATCCTACATCACATCCTGCTTCACAGTCTCCTCATCCTTCTCCTCCTCATCCTCCTCCCCCTTCTTCTTCTCCTTCTTCTCCTCCTCCTCCAGTCTCAGTGTCTCTGATAGTGTTGATCTCTTCTTCTGCTGCTGGATCTCTGATGATCGTGACTGTTATCATGATCTTCTGTATGTGCAGGAAACACAAAGACACAGGTACTGTAGATGCACAGCTTATACGTCTGTACAATAACGTGGAGCAACAATATTAGAGAAAAATACTTTTTGATTGAACATGTTTCATTACAGTTGAAGACGAGACTCTCGCTGATCCAACACTCTACACACACACTGGACAAATGATGGTGAGTGTCTCTTTAGTGACATTTACATTTATTAATTTAGCATTTTTTTTTCAAAAATGTAATGAACAATGCAAAATAACTGGATAACATAAAACAATAGCATATTGCCACTGTTTAAAACACTGCACATTAAATATTGGCAAATATGTTTAACAATTTTGTGAAATAGTATGCAGTATAATGTTACTCCATTATAAATAAATCATGCTTCCTGTGCTAAATGTGTGTCTGACTTGTTTGCATCTACTGTTTATATTTAGCCCTGTATTTGCTCTTGTCATGATATCTGATATTCAACATGTTTTGTTTCCACAGTCCACTTGCTTTTATTTTGTCACTGTTATGAAAGCTGCTCTTGTCTTCTAAAATGTCATAATAAAAGTCCCAAGAACATAAAAAGACAGAGGTCATTACACACACACACACAAGACCATCATTCAGTGTGAGAAACACTGATTCATAATATCTATCGATGAATTTGCAGCAAATTTCTGTCATTTATTCATTTTGAGCTCCTGCAGTTTTTGCATCGGAAACATCAGGTTTGTTTTTCTCCTTTGACCTTTTGTGTTTGTCTTTTCCTACAGAAATCTGAAATGACGGAGGTGGTTTATACATGTTTCATCACAGATCAATGATCAAACTCTCTGTGATTCTGTTTCTTTACAAATTATGTGATGATCATCGTATTGACATTTGTGTTTTATACTGTATTACTCTTTCAAATAAAATAAAATGTACATTGGTTGAATTAAATCATGCTTTTGGATTCCTTTAGACGGATATGGATATTCACATATGATCATCATCACAATAAAATATTTTGGGCCAGATTTACTAAACAGGGCAAATTAACGTGAGGCCGCAATCCCAAAAAATTTGTGTAAAGTTCAGGCAGCAACAATATCACCCTGTAGCCCAGGACTGGTCACCCACTGAAGCTAAGCAGAGCTGAGTCTGATCAGTGTCTGGATGAGAGACCTCCTGGGAAACTAGGTTGCTGGAAGAGGTGTTAGTGAGGCCAGCAGGGGGCGCTCACCCTGTGGTCTGTGTGGGTCCTAACACCCCAGTACAGTGACGGGGACACTATACTTTAACAGCGCTATATAAATGAAGATGACTTGACTTGACTTGATGGGCGTTCTGGTGCAATATGGCTGCCATCGCATCATCCAGGTGGTGCTGCACATTGGTGGTGATTGAGGAGACCCTAATTGAGGAGACTGCTAATATTAATTGTGAACATATGTTGTTCATGCTGTTATTTAGCACATTTTGAAACATCCGTATCCCCTGATACACGTTGCCATATAAGGGTAAGAAAAAAAGGTAATCCACAATATTGACAATCCATGTTTTTTTTAAAAAAAACTGAGAAATTAGCGCTGAAGTGGCATGGACACGGTTATTTTTGCGACTGATCTTATTGTATTAAAGGAGAACTCCGGCGCAAAATGAACCCCGGGTGTAATATTGGTACTGACTAAATCGTTCCCTGAGATTTGTTTTCATGATAATCGAATGCAAAGAGTTTTATCTCTAAAAACAGTTTAGCTTATAACGCTAGTATATTGGGCATAGAATAAGCAAAAAGAGATCGCTAGTTAATACCACTAACAAGGCTCAAATCAGCACCACACTAACACGGTAGCATAATGAGGGTCCTTACATGCAAACCGAAGCATTGAGAACTTTGTAAGTATATAGACAGTTTAATAAGAAGATACTTTACAAAGACAGTCCACTTCGCGCATACAGACAGGAGCCATCTTGGAAAACAGTCTCGACCAGTGGAACCACGAAGGTGAGCGAATAGTACGTGTAGATATTGAAGATAAGATACATTATATTTATTTTTTTATTTTCTCTGTTGCGTTCAGTGCTTCACTTATGTGCTCAGTGCTTTCTTCCGGAAACAACGGACCATATGCTCACGTATCACCGTGTTCGTGGTTCGACTGGTCGTGACTGTTTTCCAAGATGGCTCCTGTCTGTATACGCTAAGTGTACTGTCTTTGTAAAGCAGTGTTTCTCAAACTTTTTCTGCCATTCCCCACTTTGAAGGTAGGGAAGGGTTCGTGCCCCACCTGTCCTCATGCAATTGCCCCAACAAAATCTAGGCTTTAAGTTAAAATGTATTTTGTTAACATGACATTTATAAAACATGAACATGACAGTAGATAAAAATAATGCAATTGTGTTTGTATTTTGCCTCTGATAACATCAAATTCAGAAACGGAGAAAATAAAAGTGTGGACTAGTTGTGCTTTGCTTTACTATTTTGTCACTTCGCAAACTGCATGCAAAAAGAACAAACAAAATTGAAAAAGAATAATAATCTCAGGGTTTTTCCTGGCTCAAAACGAGGCGGAGGTGGTAAAATCCTAATGTACGTATTTTAGGTATTTTTATAATAATAATAATTGTATTTTGTATTTTTCGAAGACTATCATATAAGCTACTGTGTTTCCCACAGTATTTTGCGTGTGGTGTGGACCTCTGCACCCCTAGGGGGGTCCGGGGGCATGCTCCCCCGGAAGAAAAGTTTGTACGTTTTAAAGATAAATTCATAAATCTGGTGCACTTTGAAAGTTCAACATTAAGTGATTAACTAATTTAGTGTCTGCAATGAGCCTGTTTTGTAGTAGGCTACACATATTTTCTGAGCCAGAGACGGAGAGCGCTCACCGCTTGACATCACAACTATTCAGTGTTTTTATTTTAGGTTTCAGACATTTAAATTCACATAAGTACTAAAAAAGCAATACATTAGTTTGTCAAATACACACTTATGTCTATGGAAGCGGCAATAATAATAATTTCCATTATAATTAGACTACACGTATTATTCATATCAAATACACATCGTGTAAGTAACTTTCAAGTTTACTCTATGCTTCTCCCAGTTCACCGGCCACTTGCTTTCATGTATTTCGGGAGAAATGGATAAATTGACATTTGTTAAATCCAACAGATCCGATTCTCTAAAATCCGGCATAAACTAACGCCCATCGCGTATAACGTTAGCTCAACTAAGGTGTTTAAACAACAAAACGCATCCACTGGCTCATATTTGACAATCGGAATATCAGATATTTCCTGCTATAGCCAACAAATTTGTGAAATAAAAGCAGATAATCAGTCATTCAGCGCTATAGGCTTTATGCCGAGCGTCACGTGACCAAGCCGGAAAACAGATCACATCGCTTCAGATTCAGGTCTTTTGTATGTGCTTCATGAAATTTTTTGCGGTTTTACTCAAGATAACTTAAAAGGAGCAAGCAAAAATGAGCATAACCAATGTCCCTCGCATGTGCAGATTGATATTTAAAAGTTTTTAAATTTTTCTTCTTCACACTAACGTTTAGATATTTAAATAGCATAAAACACCAATAACAAATTGAACTTCATAGGTTAGCTGATTACCTTAAAAATCCATAGATATCGTAGTTAGTTCTTACGGCCGTTAACACTTTCTCTGACAAGCGGATGCAATGAGACCCGTTTTCCGGTTTGGTCACGTGACGCTCGGCATAAAGCCTATTGTGGCTGCGGTGTGACAAGCAATGACGCGTAACCATGGAAACCATAAAGGGATACGATCTAAATAACGGGCGCCTCTAAAAACTTTTAAACTTACGTGTGAAAAGGTTAAGTAAGGCTTAGATTGAAATGTGTCGTTGTTTTGTTTTGAGTTTATGCTCAATAAATAAAGGAATTAATAGAGATGGGCACAAAAATTACCACATTTTCTCCCGTTTGTCGCGCCCCACTTGTCATGTTTCCATTCCCCACCAGTGGGGCGCGCCCCACACTTTGAGAAACGCTGTTGTAAAGTATCTTCTTAACTGTCTATACACTTACAAAGTTCTCAATGCTTCGGTTTGCATGTAAGGACCCTCATTATGCTACCGTGTTAGTGTGGGGCTAATTTGAGCCTTGTTAGTGGTATAAACTAGCTATCTCTTTTTGCTTACTATATGCCCAATATACTAGCGTTATAAGCCAAACTGTTTTTAAAGATAAAACTCTTTACATTCGATTATCATGAAAACAAATCTCAGGGAACGATTTAGTCGGTACCGATGTGTTATTACACCCGGGGTTCATTTTGGGTCTCCTTTAACATATTTGTATAATAAATAGAGTAGGCTAGTAGAGTAGTTATTTGTCTCTTGTTATTGGCATGATTAGCTAATAGCCTTAAAAACCCAGCAAACATTGGTCCGACGGCAACGTCGTGTCCCTGGCCAAAAATAGTTGCGGCCAGGACGTCATAAATCGGTAAAAAATGCAACACAGAACATTTCCTAAAAATGCATTCAGATACATTTGTACATGTCTACAGTGGCATGTATAATTGTTATTTTAACTTTTAGCTCGTGTAGTTATGTTTAGTGTATCGGGTGAGAGGACGTCACCTGGCGACGTCTTTTACACGTGCATTTATAGTCCATCATGACCCTCTATGAAATCCAAAAGCTGCGCTTAATCCTCGCATGGTTAATACTGCAATAATTAATGTAGTTGCCCATGAAGTTTTTAAGAGGTTGTGAAGAAGACGTCCACTGGCGTCCTTTACACGTCTAGTCAGGCTGTGAATACTATACGTCCACTGGCGTCTTTTGCACGTCTAGTCTAGCAAGACAGAAAAAAATTATCAGGATTTATAATTCTTTATAAAATACACGATTTATATACAAATGAATATATATTTACTTTATCTTGTTTTTATAAATTATAATCACAAAATGCACAGTATAGTCAAGTGATTGCAAAGCCACTGCATTTTAGTCATTATTTTAACCTGTTGTACCTGATGTATTCGTTGTTATTTTTTTTATGGAATGTATATACATGTAAAACAGAAATATACCCGGTCACCATTTATGTCTGAGTTGGATGTAATTACCCAAACCCTCTGCCCAAACCATAAACTGTGCTGCCAAGATGTAGTAACAAAAGATCTCGCGATATTACAAAATCCTGCGATGGGATTATCTCGCGAGATGTTAACGCGTTCTCCCCATAGATTCTGGAACTTTGAACAAACACGAGGAGAGGAGGGAGTTGTGTCGATATTATTAAAAATCTACTGTTGGGTAAGTACATTTTGTATTAGATTAACGTGCTTGAGTTTTACTTGTGTGACATGAATGAACCGAAAGAAATGATGCCCACATTGTCAACTGAAATTTACTGAGTTTGGCTAAAATTAGCCAGTAGGCTAAAAGTAACTTTGAACGTATACAACAACGGTAACGTTATACCAAGTATATTGTTTAATGATACAGTCATTACTGTAACTTATTAATGTAGCCTTTTGAGAGTTTCTTTCAGAAAGTAAATTATCTGAAATGGGATGAAATGTTTAGCTGGATTTTAACATGTATGTTTTCAGTAACTGCTTTAAAAATAAAAGCAGAACATATTTTATACAATAAAATAAAATGTAATGCATGTTGATTACCTTTTTCTAATGTGTCATTCATGATTCATTCATCTTGTTCCATGTTTTTTTTTAATTTAGCTGTAGACCATAAAAATATTTTGAAAATAAGTGCATATCATTTACCTCAAATTTTAATTTAATAATAATTTTATTTATTTAAATATATATATATATTCTCTTCCCTTAGATGCTGTGAAGAGGTGGAGCCCAAATGCTACAGACTCTGAAATTGATGCAGCAATGGCAGAACACCTGAAACACGCTCCAGGAACAGCTGGTGGATACAAAAACTGAGCCAA